GCGGCCGTCGCGGCGAATGAGGCTACATGGGCCGGCGGAATGAGCGAAGCGATTAAATAAGAAGAGGCTCCATGAAATGTGAGGAAATATCATGGCCCCCGCCATGATATCCACCCCACCCCCCAATCATCAACCCCCCTCTTGGCCGCCCCTGATCCAAGCGCAGCGCCCTCCAGAGGTGTGCCGCCGAGCGCGGCTAGGGCGGCGAGGGCGTCGACGCGATTCTCGCCGAGCTTTAGGTCGGGCATGTCCTCCTACAGGCGGATTTCGTAAGAAAAACGCAATTTGGTCAAACGTATACACGAACGAATAGTCCAAACATTATCGAAAAATCGTCCCCTGACTATTTTGTTGACTATCTTTGATTATGCTCCTGTACAGGGTTATGCCCGACTGAAGGCTAGGGCGGCGAGGGCATCGACTTGGGCGGCGAGGGCATCGACGCGATTCTCGCCCACTTGGGCCCGGCGCGCGGCGCTGTCTTGCAGAGCAGGGCCGGGCCGGCTGGCCCGCCCAACCCGCGGACGTCGGCCCGCCGCGGGGCGGCGCCGAGATTGCCCCTGCAGCGTGCCAGGTTTAGGTCGGGCGTGTCCCCCTACAGGCGGATTTTGGGCGAAAAATTGAAGATACCCAAAAAAAAAACGAAATAGCCTAAAAATACTCGAAAATACCCGGGAGCCTTGTAGATCAATCCGGCTTGAGAATTGACGCAGAAAGATGGGCTCCAGGGCTCTGGTCGTTAATTTTGCGGTGATGCATTGCTTTTGCAACGGCGGATCTCCGGCCTTTTGATGATCAGTGTTCTAAGCCTTCCCCGAAGACAGACAAAAACCTTTCAGAAGGCAGGAGGGTTTCTGAGAAGTCCCGCCGCCTTCCGAGAAGACCTTCTCCTTCTCAATTTCCCCCCCCTTGCCCGTCGCCGAGATATGTCGCGGACCTGGGGCACCTGGCGTTAAGTCGGGCCTGTCCCTCTACAGGGGGAATACTGGAGGCCCGAAACTGAGCGAAAACGACCCGCGGACGTCGGCCCGCCGCGGGGCGGCGCCGAGATTGCCCCTGAAGCGCGCCAGGTGCCCCCGCGCCACGACGTCTCTCCCCAGACCTTCCTCGGGGGCCAAGTAATGGCACGAGGACCTCGACAGCTCAACTGCAGTCGAAGCTTGAGGCAGTCCAGACAGGTCTCTACAGGTCTGGAGGGCTATGCACTCTGGAAGGTCAGGGCCTTCTCGCCGCCCGCCCTAGCACGCGACGAGGTCGCCAGGCCCCGGCCCCGCGCCGCGCCCGCGGGCGCGCCTGTCTCTGAGACGTCGCCCGCGGCGCCCCAGCCCCCCCCCCCCCACGGCCCGCGCGGAGATCCGCCGCCACGGCGCATCGGGCGACGTCCCAGGCGACGGCAGCGCATCGGCGACGTCCCGGGCGACGCCGACACGGCGCCGCGCGCGGCACGGCGAGGAGGGCCCGGCCCACGAGAAGGGCGGTCTCCCCCCGCCCCCACGGCGACGAAGGAGCCCGCCCCGAGAGCCAAAGCCTGGCCAGGCCGCGCCGAGCGCGGCGACCCTGGCCCTGTCCACAGCGCGGCCGGGGGCAAGGGGAGGCCCCCATCCGCGAGGCGTCCCAAGACGAGGCGGCTTCCACAGAGCGCCCTCACGGACAGCAACGCGGCGGCGCTCGATGGTGATAGGAAGGCGTCAAGCGCTCCGCTCCGTGACGCGTGCGCGCGCGCTCCTCGACGGCGTCGAGCTTGGGTGAAGGGGCCCCAGGACACACAAATAAATACACACAAATAGAAATATTCCCCATATTTCCCCATAGTTTCTGGGTTTCTGCCTTCCCCCCCACTTCCCATATTTTCCCATATTCTCTGGGGAATCGAAGATTAATTGTGTCTGTGTGTGTCTTTCCCTCCTGATTGGGGAGGCCCGAGGTGAATCTGCACGCACTCTCTTCGGCGTCGCCGGCCGTGCTGCTAGGCAGCGTCGGAGGGCGAAGGTGCGGGGCCAGGCGTTCGGCCTGCGGTGGCCCCGGCAAAACGGCCGCGAGCGGCGGCCCTTCCTCGCGAGATGTGCGCTCCGCGGCGGTCGAAAGAGGACCCCATGGGACGCACAAGGGCATGCTAGCACTCTTGTGGACGCCCAAAATATGTACGGAAAGAATGGGCACAATGCCCCACAACAAATGTTGTCCCAAACCAACAGCGGCCGCTGTTGGGCAGGCGGCCTCGAATGGACACAGGCCGCGGCGGCGTGGACAGCGAATCCTGTTCAAAACGAACAGGAGCTGCTGTTGGGCATTGTACCCATCCTTTCCGTGCCCATCTCGTTCGTGCAGAACTCTGTGTCCTCATTTGAGGCGTGCGTCTGGCCCGAACATATAGTAGAACGCTCTTGCAGCATATCGTTTCCCGAGCAGCGTGGCCAGAAAGCGCCCGCCACGGAGCTTACACTATGAGATTTCTCGGTGCGAGCGTCGGCCCAGGGGCGGCGACGCACACATAGTATTAGTATGTTGGGGTGACGCCGACCCCAGTTATCCTCTAAAGCCCGCCCTGGGGGGACCTGGTTCGCGGCTGCACCACTGCAGGCGCTGGAGCGCCGCGCAGCGCGCGGCGCGCGAACACTTGCGTCAGTTCCCTCACGGCGGGCGGCTGACGCGCTAGCCTCGGGAGCCCATCGGCCGCATCCTCCAGCACGGGGGCCGTCGTCGCAAAACGCACACTACTCGCCGCAGTAAAAAAATGTCCCAGAGCCCCCCGAGGGCGCGAACGATTGACTGCAGGTCGCTCTGGGCTCCTCCGCACCCGCGAAAACAACCCCACGGGCGCCCACCATCCCCGAGGCGCAGCCCCAAATTCAGAATCACCAAGGTCGCCCGCGATGAAACCGCTGGCCTCCGCGTATTCTGGGGGGCTGCAAAGACCTCCACGCGCGCCGCGGGCGTCGTGGACACATTCGTCTAAAAGCTTGGAACAGCTTCCAAGCTGGAGGGCGGGCCGTTTTCAAATGTGGATGTCGCCTTAGCGCCGCGCACAATCGTCTGAAAGTTTGCAGTACGAGCATCACGGGTGGAGGGCGATTCGTTTTCAAATGTTGGTCTCGCTTTAGCGCCGCGCAAATTCGTCTTAATATGTACAACCGCTTCAAGGATGGAGGGCAGTTCCTTTTCAATGTGTTTCTCACCTTAGCGCCACGCACACTCGTCTTCAGAATGTTGCAGCGCTTCAAGTTGCGAAAGGCCGAAGGCCCAGGAACGTTGTTTGGGCACGATCTAGAATGGTCAGAACGCAACAGACACATTGAGTCGCGGTGTTGACGCCCCAGGACTGATGCTCTGGCACGATTTAGAAGTGTCAGGACGCAACTGTAACGTTGATTCGCTGCGTTGGGGTCCTAAGAATGGCAACTTGGCACATTTGAGGATTTTCAAACGGTTGTCTTTCAATGGGAGTCTTCCCGCACTGGCAATAAATGTAGGGGTATATGAAAAGCGAACTTGGTGTGAGGGTTCAGTGCAATATCGTTCATGCGTATTGGGTTTACACTGGTCCTCCTCCTCCTCCTCCTCACCCTGCTCCTCTTCCTCCTCCTCCTCCTCCTCCTCCTCCTCCTGCTCATCCTCCTCCTCCTCGTCATCGCCATCATATTCCTTACTTTCCTCCTCTTCCTCCTCTTCCTCCCCCTCCTCATCCGCCATCATCTTCCATCTGCCATCCCCCCTCCTCCTCCTCCGCCTCCTCCTCCTTCTTCTCCTCCTCCTCCTCCTCGTCCTCCTCCTCCGCCTCCTCAAACCGTCTTCCTTATAGATAACTCCTCGCTGTCGCACCCCGAAGCCAGTTTTTAGGGCGGGCCGGGCGTTTCGCCTGAGACATCCGCACCACTCATGACCCTGAAACTTACAAATTGGCAAGAGCTTCACAAATGGAGGGCGGGTCGTTTTCAAAATGTGGCTCTCGCCTTAGCGCCGCGCACACTCGTTGTAAACATGTCCAAGAGCTTCACATCTTGAGAGCGGCTCGTTTTCAAAATGTGGCTCTCGCCTTGGCGCCGCGCACATTCGTTATAGAAAATCGCAAGAGTTTCACGGATTGAGTGCGGCTCGTGTTCAAACTGTGGCTCTCGCCTCAGCGCCGCGCACATTCGTTCTAAACATGTGCGAGATCTTCACAGCTTGAGGGCGGCTCCTTTTCAAAATGTGGCTCTCGTCTTAACGCCGCGCACATTGGTTTTTCTGACATTTGCAAGAGTTTCACGGATTCCCATGATCAGCGTACCAGACATAGCGTTTTGGAAGGATTGAGGATTATGAGGGCGCAACAGTTACGTTGATTCGCGATGGTGAAGTCCCAGGAATGGCGTTCTGGCACGATTCAGGTTCGTCAAGACGCAACAGTCAGGTTGATCCGTGGCGTTGGAATCCAGAGAACTATGTTTTGGTTGGCTTCAAGGTCTTCAAACGGTTGTCTTCCGACGAGGCAGTTCGCACAGTGGAAATGAACCGTTGTATGGGGCCTACGAAGAGGGAGCTTGGAGGGAGGGGCTATTCCAACATCGTTGATGACTCTTGGGTTTACACTGGTCCTCCTCCTCCTCCTCCTCCTCCTCCTCCTCCTCCTCCTCCTCCTCCTCCTCCTCCTCCTCCTCCTCCTCCTCCTCCTCCTCCTCCTCCTACGCCTCTCCTCCTCCTCCTCCTCCTCCTCCTCCTCCTCCTCCTCCTCCTCCTTTACACTGTCCTCCTCCTCCTCCTCCTCCTCCCCCTCCTCCTCCTCCTCCTCCTCCTCCTCCTCCTCCTCGCCCTCCTCCTCCTCCCTATTTTCGAAGACCATCGGGGCGGCGACCCGCCACGGGCCGCACTGGCGGGGCGGCGAGAACCGTCCCAGAGGCTCATATCAGTCCCCAATCAGCTGCAAGCTTGGACGTCATCCTCGATATTCCTCGGTATTCCTCGATCTTCCTCGATATTCCTTGATATGCCTCGTCACCCCAATAAACTGCAAACTCTGATCGTCATCCTCGATATTCCTCCGTCCTGGCGAGCCGCGCCACCGCGCGGAGCCACGCCTGCGTGGTGCCGCCGCACGGCAGCTGCCCAGCGGGCGGCAAACTCGGCGCCGCGGGCGCCTGCGAGCGGTTGGGGGCTCCTCGCCACTAACGGCTGCACTTCGGAAGTCTGGTCAGACTGTGCCCGGGGAAGGGGGGGCTTCAGGAGAAGGGTGGGAGCAGGAGGAGGGGGATGAGTGACGAGTACGAGCACTAGTTCAAAACAGGCCACACAGCACACACACACACACACAAACACAAACACACGAACACGAGTTATGCCTCCGATCATGCTTCTTAAGGCCTGACAATCCCAAGACCCGTCGTCGACTGCAACGTCGACGAGATTGGGGTGGAGGCCACAAGCGGTGCGATTCCAAAAATTGTCCGCTGTCCCCCCTTACAAGGGCCGCGAGGCTACGAGGCGTCGAGCGCGCAATGATCAGGTTTCGTGTACGCGAACGCACCGGAATGGACGCAGGTAGGAGGAGCCAGGAGAGGCCCGCGATGACGGAGGAGAAGGACGGAGATCTTTCAACGGCAAGTCGGCCGCGCGCTCCATGCCTCATCCGACCAGCCCCCCGAGGCGCCCCCAGGCACGCGGAGCGGCCTCCAAGCCGCTCAGCGCGTCAGAAGGGAAAGCGAAGTTGGGCGGAGGGAGCACCTGGCGCGAGCCTCCCAAGGCTGCGAGGCCAAAACGGCGGAGCCAACAGCAGCCCCCCCGCTTCCACAGGACCTGCCATCGAAGCAACCCAGACTGCAGAAAGTGGGGTGTACGTTTGCGCACTGGCATATGGACGGAGGAAGGAGGAGAGCACGGCGACGAAGGAGGAGGAGGAGGAGGAGGAGGACGGAGAACTTCCAAGGGCAAGTCGGCCATGCGCTCCAGTGGTCGGGCGAGCAACCTCGCCCGACCAGTCCCCCGAGGCGCCCCGGTTTGTAGATGCGTGGCGCCCTTCGGGCTCGCCGAGCGGCACCCCAGCCGCCAAACTTTTTAACCAGGCGGCAGTCGAGCGGCGGGAGCGACCCCACCCGCCCGACTGCGGCAACGCCGAGCCCACGAGAAGCCCGAGCCGAGGAGGAGGAGGAGGAGGAGGAGGAGGAGGAGGAGGAGGAGGAGGAGGAGGAGGATGTGGAGGGGAGCGGAGGAGGAGGAGGAGGAGGAGAGGGGAGGAGGAGAGGGGGAGAAGGAGTAGGAGGCGGGAAGGGAGGATGAGTAGGAGGAGGAGAGAGGAGGAGGAGGAGGAGGAGAGGAGGTCGCGGCGGCAGGCCCCGCTCTTCGTCCCCCGGACGGCGCCACCCGGGCCTGAGCCGGGCGCAGACAGCGGGCGGCGCCGGCGCGAGCCAGACCGAGCCGACGTCCAGGGGCCCGCGGCGGCGGCGGGAGCTCCCAGCTCTGGCGCCGCGGCAGGGGCAGGGGCAGTCCGCACGCGCGCGCGGGCGGTCTGGGCGACGGCCAGTGGCGGAGAGCGCGAGGGGGGAGCGAGACGAAGCGGGCCCTCTCCGAAGGCCCGGAAGTGCCCCGGCCGTGTGAGGAGTTCCCTCGGCCTCTCCCCGAGGACAGAAAAAAAGAAACGGCCGAGAAGGCGCGAGGCTTTCTGAGGAGACCCGCCATCCGAGAAGGCCCCCCCCCCTCGCTCGCCGCCGAGGCAAGCGCGCCAGGCAGCTGGCGGCACGAGGAGGGAAAGGCGGCCGGAGCTCCCAGCAGGCAGGCGACGGGCGCGCCGGGCCCCGCGGCCGCCGAAGGGGGCGGGGGGGCGGAGGGCCGCCCCCCCCGGGGCCCAGGGCGCAGCCAGGCGGCACGGCCGCGCGAGCGGAGGTCGCCGCACGGCGGGCTGGCCGCCAAGCCCAAGCCACGCCCACGGAGCAGAAGGCGACCTTCCGTGCGAGCCCATTGTTTCTCCGTCGGCGGCGAGGCAGAGGCAGTCCGCTGCAGCGTGCGGCTATTCGGGGCAGCCGAAAAGCGAATGGTCCGGCGCGCAGGCAGAAGGAAGAAGACGAGAGCGGCTGCGCGGGGGGAGGAGGAGGGAATTCCAGGCGAGCACACGCGGCGCCCACGGGCGCAGCGCGCAGCCCCAGCGCGCGCCCGAGCCAATGGAAGGCAGGCAGAGGCTGCATCGGCAGCCGAGGAGATCGGCCCAGCCTCGCTGCTGGCCGTGAACAGAGCTGCCGAGCCAGCCGTCGCGCCCCGCACAGCACAGCGTCGACAAGCCGCGAAAAAGAAGGTCCGTGGGTGACGGGGAGCCGCACCAACGGGCCGGGTGGCCAGAGGCACGCAAGCGGGCGCGGAATCACCCGAACGCGCGAGAGAGAGATGGAGTAAAGAACGCAATGCGTACGGAGCAGCCCGCGGGCGATGGCCAGCACGCGCGCGACCCTTTTGGTAGTGGCGGCGGGCAGGCGCGACGAGGCGAGCTCGCGCCCTGCGCGGGCCAAGTACCCGCGCTGCCAAAGCGAGAGACCGCGAGCGCGAGGGTGCCTAAAGAGCAGCTCGCCCACCCAAGCAGGCGCTCCGCGCCTGGCCAGCGGCAACGCGGCATACCCAAGGGGGGGGGGGGCTGGACAGCCGAAAGGCCAAGTCCCAGGCCGCCCCCATGGCGGCGGCGCCGCCAAGACCCCGGGACCCCCCAGGACCAGAGCTCCGATGAGGCGAGGCCGTAGGCGCGCAAAGCGAACTTTTTTCGTCTGCGGCGAGGCAGAGGCAGTCCGCTCCAGCGTGTGACTACTGGGGCAACCGAAAGGCGAATTGCCCGGCGTGCGAGCGCAAAGCGAACAGGCAGGGCGAACGCCCAAGGCAGGCCAGGCCCCGCCCCGCTGGGCAGCAGAGGCGACGCGGGCGGGGTTGCAAGCAGGCAGCTCGCCCACCCCCGCGGACGCCTCCTGCCCCACGAGGCAAGGAGAGCACGGGCATAGCCAAACAGCCGACAGGCCGAGATCGCGCCAGCATAAGCGCCGATGCGTGCCCGGAACCGGGCACCGCCAAGATAGAGGAAGAAAAACACGCCACAAACAAATCTCTTGAATCTGCGCTGGAGCCCGCCAGGGGTGCCACAACGCGGATCCGCGAAGTCCGCGCGGAGCGCAAAAAAATTATCATGTTCATGGCGTTTTTCCTCCTTCGACAAGAAGATGGGGTAGAAGCTGGTGCACCGGGCACCTGGCGCCACCAAGAAGACGGCGCTGGGCGCTGGAGCAAGAGCCACCGCATCCAGCACCCAGCACTACCAAGAGGGCGGCGCTCGGGCGAGGGCCAGTGCACCTGGCACCCGGCACTGCCGAGAGGATGGCGCAGGCCTCCCCGAGGCTCAGAGGATGCATGACGCCTGCCTCGCGCCGTGCCACCTCCTGCCCCCCCCCCCCCCCCGGGCGCGTCACCCAACTCCCGGCTCGCTGCTCCCCTCGCTGGGCTGGCTGGGCGTGGCGTCCAGCGCCCGACAACGGAGGGGCTGAGGCCCGGCTGCCAGCCACCCCAGGGCGCGACTTCGCCCCTAGTCGCGGCTGGGCTAGGAGTAGGTGCTGCGCCGTCGTCGGCGGCAACGGGCGCGGAATCCAGCGCAGCCAGCCCCCGCGCGGCCCGGACGGCCACGCAACACGAGGCGCCACCCGCGAGCCCCTGCAGCGGGGCCCCAGGAATCCCAACCACGCCGGCCGGGTAGGCGGCAGCCCCTGCGCGAATACGAAGCCGACCCTGCGCGCGAATACGCCAAAGATGTCCGTGACACAGCACGGGGGGCAGCACGCCTGGAGCGAGGTCCCGAAGCCAGCGTGCCAGTCCTCCAAGGCTGCCTCGCAAGCCTCAGCTCCGCCGACCAGATAGCCGCCACCCCTGGCCGCTGGCAGGCCATTAAGCTCGCCAGTCGCCGCGAACAGGGCGAGCAAAATGGAGCTGGCGCCGCACGCGAGCGCTGCGAGGGAATCCAGGACCCGGCGGAGGGCATCGATAGCGGATGGGCCGCAATGCCCAAGCTGGTAGCAGATGGAGCGGCACGCCCCAAGCCAAGTCTCGTAATTGCCGCAGAGGTCGACGTCGGCGCAGGCGCAGCGTCGGCGCTGGTGTCGTTCCCAGTGCGACTGGGCTCGGCGCAGGCACTGGCACAAGCGCTGCCTGTCCCCCTCAGCGCCGCCGTCGCCGCTGGGACGTCGCACGTAAGGATGGCCCCCTTGCGGCTGGGCTCGGCGCAGGCGCCGGCATCAGCACTGGACATCCCTCTAAGGGCACATGCATCCGTTGACGGAGGCGTGGGCGTAGCCGTCGCCATTGGGACTTTGCCCCTGAGGCTGGTCAGACACTAACAAAAAAACCATGAAAAAGTTGAAAAAACCGTCCCTTGATCATTTTTGACTATCTTTCAATACTCCTCCTGTTGAGGGACGTGCCCGACTTCAATCTGGTGGCGCGCCGTGCGCAGGCGTGCGGCGCCCGCCCTCTAGCCCGGGCCACTGCAGCCCAGAGGGCCAGCCCCCCCCGAAGGCGTCGCTCCCCTCTTGAGGTCGGGCGCCCGGCCCCCCTGCGCCCCCCGACTCAAGCCTCGCAGGGCTGCGAGGCCACAGTGGCGGAGCCCAAAGCAACCCCCCCCCCTCCATGCTGATGCTCCTCCTCCTCCTCCTCCTCCTCCTCCTCCTCCTCCTCCTCCTCCTCATCATCATCATCATCATCATCATCATCATCATCATCATCACATCATCATCATCATCATCATCATCATCATCATCATCCATCATCATCATCATCATCATCATCATCATCATCATCATCATCATCATCATCATCATCACTCATCATCATCAATCATCCATCATCATCATCATCGTCATCATCATCATCATCAGCAGCAGCATCAGCATCATGCATCAGCATCAGTCATCATCATCATCAGCATCATCATCATCATCATCTCATCATCATCATCATCATCATCATCATCATCATCATCTCCATCCTCCTCCTCCTCCTCCTCCTCCTCCTCATCATCATCATCATCATCATCATCATCAGCATCAGCATCAGCATCGCATCAGCATCATCATCATCAGCATCAGCATCATCAGCATCAGCATCAGCATCAGCATCATCATCATCATCATCATCATCATCATCATCATCATCATCATCATCATCATCATCATCATCATCATCATCAGCATCATCATCATCATCATCATCATCATCATCATCATCATCATCATCATCATCATCATCATCATCATCATCATCATCATCATCATCATCATCATGGACCGTGCGACATCACTTTCACC